CTACATGAACCAATATTGGAAGCTTGACAGTTTTTACTTACAGGGAGGACAAATTAGCGAAGCCATCAAAAGTGTTTTTCTTTAAATCCGTTTCATCGCTGGTCGCCTGAATAACCCTGAAAATTGATTGAGGATAACTTGTTAACCTTCGATTTCCAGATAATTTTGGCATAGACTGAACGTTCAAAATGCAAATACTCACAAAATCTTCAGATCTCTAAGGTTTGGAACCATTTTGAATGAACCATCCTTGAGATTGTTGAAATTTACCCCGGCAAGATACCTGCAGAAAAACGATTCAGATGAATTAAAGAAAAAATTTAAATCACTTCTTAAGCTGATATAATTTCTTTAGGAATAACCCAAAATGTATTTATATTCCTTTATCGAAGTTAAAAATTTCTGTTCATTCGCTTCAGAACTATCACTACTCCAAAGTTACGATCACTAATAGCCACATCTCAGCCTACTTCATTGGGTATGAAATGTGTCGTAGGTATTGAATAACGTTGTTTCTCATATTACAGTAAGGCTTGGCCTGAACTGGCGATTTTATTAGGAAACGTTAAGGTTGATCACACAGTCGAAGTAGTAAAATCCTTCAAGATGAAGTTATTAATATCAAAGAACATAAGTTGTTGGAATTGACGTACAGAGTGTGTGTTGTATCGGGTACAGTCAACAGCATGGCAGGATACCATCCAACACACAGCACTGAGAGATCTTGACCTCTGACTGCGCAACCGCACAACAGACTTGGATTGGTGCAACTTATCTTGTCGGAGAGGGTCGCTAGACAAGTCTCACGTTCTGATGGAAATACACAGACAAAGGATTACTCTGACCTTTTATTCACTCTGTGCTCTGGAATGGACTTTGTGGACCTGAAAACTCATTAGGCCTAAAGACATTTTGAGTCAGATGTTAAGACTCGCGGACAACCTTAGGCTTATCTTTCTAGATGGACAGGCCAAAAAGGAAATATTTGTAATAGAGATAGCCTCGAGGCCCAGGTGTCAGAGATAGTCGAGAATGGCCTTAGAGATAGCATAAAGAGGTTTTAGAGATATCTTAGAGAGGTCTTAGAGATAGCCCAAAGAGGTTTTACTGAAGCCCTTGAGAGGTCTTAGAAATGGCCTGAACCGGTCTTATACAGAGTGTCTTGGAGAAGTCTTATAGAAAGCCTGGAAAGGTCTTAAGGATAGCCGAGAGTAGTCTTACAGAAAGCCTTGAAAGGTCTTAGCCTAAAGATAGCCGAGGACTTAGAGAAAGCCTGGAGAATACTTAGAGAAAACCTGGAGAGTACTTAGAGATAGCCTGGAAAGGTCTTAGAGATAGACGAGAGGGGACTTGGAGACAGTCGAAAGAGGACTTTGAGAAAGCCTGGAGAGTACTTAGAGATAGCCTGGAAAGGTCTTAGAGATAGCTGAGAAGGTCTTAGAGAAAGCCGAGAGAGGACTTAGAGACAGCCGAGAGAGGACTTTGAGAAAGCCTGGAGTGTATTTAGAGAAAGCCTGGAAAGGTCTTAGAGATTGCCTAGAGACTCAATAGTTTGTTTTCAATCTGCCTTACTATGAGTGTATTTCAACCTGTCGATCGCTGGATAAGAATGATAATTTGTAGACACTATATTAGTTCATGGATTCCTAAATGCATAAATCTTTACCAGGATATTCTGCTAAAGAGAAGAGATAAAACATCGATTAAACTGCAGCAGCTCTTACCATTGTCGTATTGCTGATTATCAGGACATTTCTTGCATGCAGAGATATCAAATTTGACTTGTTGTGAGGAGCCTGCAAAGCAAAATAAACGTACACTTTGGAGAACACAAAGCGAAAGTTTTTTCAAGAAAAAACTGCGAGGGATTTCATACAATATGTGAAATAGCAAAACTAAAAAGTACCCAGCTGGGAATAATGAAAATGTGCAATACCAAAATTCATGTAACAGCATTATTTACCACAATGCGTCTCATCCGATTTGTCCTTACACTGCTCAAAACCATCACAAACTGACTCGCTGCCCAGGCAAATTGTTCCCTCCTCTCGCCCTGCACACCGAAAATCATTTTGATTGCAAAGTCCTACAAATGAACAGGAAGTTTATAAACATTTAATCTTCAGTCAACAGAAAGGGTTTACTTTCAAAAACATTTAATTTGAGTCCTCATTTACTTGATAACCAAGGGTGCTTCAGTACGTACTCACCTTCTTCTCCCATCCTTCCTGATGGTGTTTCTTGTCTCACCGTCACTGAAAACCCACGACAGGCTGTATTTTCGCAGCTTCGAAACTTCAACCAGGCCTCCTCTCCCTTGGCTATCAAGCGTGCACCTCCGGCGGTTAAGTTGCCAGCCAAGCGAGTGATGACGTTGGTGCCTAATAATGAGGCCAAGTTAGAAGCATCCTTGCCATTGCCGATTTCCAGTAAGTCACCTTTTTCAATCTCCAACGCGTCGAAGTCAAAAATCACCTGGGATCCTTCATCTACACTGATGAGCCAGACGGCCAGGAAGTTGTTGGGATACAAGCCGAGGTCGAAATCAGGCGACTTGAAAGACCACTTTGGGGCTTTCTCAGTCAGTGTTATAATGTGAACACCATCTAATATTTGAGCTGCAGGTTAGGACAGCAAAAAGTAAAAAGAGAGTGTCGTTTATGTTGAAAGGAGCCGCACATGAAGAGGCTTTACATGTACACTTGCAAAAATGAATGGTGGATCTAGACTTACAGCGATTGGAATAACACATTCATAACACATTCTTAACACGACATACTTTGAAGTTTCGGCATTTGTTCTTTCCATATAGATCGGTATCGTTTTTTGATATGTCTTGTTGGCAAATGACTTCAGCCATTGGCGTTTTTTTTTTTGAAAAATGATTTCAAACGGGGGACATTGTAGCATCATATTTGCTTCCTCCCTATCCTCCTCTGCAACCTCTCCCCCGATCTGTCCCAACATCTAAGGCCATCAAAAATTAACTAATTCTTGACAACTGCGATGCAATGAGGTTTTGTACATAGGCAAACAATTATTTTCTTACCTCTCTTAATTGGGCATGCCTGCTAAGTTACAAACTGCCAATGGTGGCCATTGAGGTTCTCCAAGAATTGACAAGTTATTTAGTCGGAGTACAATTAAATGAACGATGTAAGAAAAAAAAAGCAAAAGCAAATTTTAAGCACAACACCTAAAAAAAACTGCAATTAACAAACTCTAAGTGGTCATAATAGTTTAGTCTATTAAATTATTGTGTTTAATGTGAAATTAAACTGATAAATACTGGAGAGTTCAGATGGAGAATTCCTTCTGGCTTCAAATAAACAAGTTTGTCATAAATCTCCATTTCAGCTTATTTGATATGTACTAACTCTCCGTTTCTGTTTATTTCCGATGAACAAAAGTTTACTTAACGCAGAAGAAATAGATAATTTAAACCGTAGAATGATTAGCTGAAAGGCAAGCTCAGTTGATAGTGACAACGATGGAGAAAGACGTACACATTCTCCCTCCTAAGCAAATACTTCGAAAGAAATAGATCTACATGTTATTGCTCGTCTGATAAAATAAGTCATGCGATTTCCAAAGCTGGTCCAGAAACGCTTCTACATAAAAGGAAAAAAAAGGAATATCCTTGAAAAGCAAAGAACAACGTTCTTTTGAATAGTCTAACGCTTGATTCACTTCAGTCCATACGAGGCATTGTGTACCTAAAGTTGTCATCTATTTCAACCTCTGACATTCTGTTGGTGTTTTCAATATCCCTCCAATACTCAAACCAGAAAATAGGTCCGTCGTTATTACTAAAAACGAAGCCCGTTTATTCACAGAAATACCTTTCCGCGACATGGATATGTGTACAAGATTTTAAAAGGCCTACAGGCCTTGACATTCAATTCAGGAATTGCATGCTGAAGATTTTATTCCAGTGAAAGGTTCAAGTTTCTAAACTCATCATGGCGATCCATTGCATTCCATACTTAGCAGAATTGTTCATTTACCATTGACGATGAACCCCAATGAAACTCTACGGTTGTATCTTACTTAACGCCAAGTAAACCCAAACTTAATTCTGACGTCGTTTCATATGATATTTCCATGAACCCAACAACTTACCAAGACATGGGTTTGCCAATGCGAAGAACAGAAAGAACTTTAAGGAAAGATGTCTTCCCATCAACATGACAGCAGTTGTGCCAACTTGATAGGGAAAATAAAAAAAAAACAAATTTTGACTTTTGAATCTTTTTATTTGGTAATAAGACTTCATAAACACCACCGTGGTCGTCCAATGCCATCCACATTCAAACGTTTTAAAGCATCGAAAATGTTGGGCTATAGCAAAATCAACTTCAAATGGAACTGGAGTATATTACCGATCATCTGCAGGTAGATTTAATCAACACACGTTGAACACTATGTTACACAAACCGAGACACACCCAATGCTACTTACTTTTCAGGTCAACATCTTGGTAGCTGATGGTCTTATTGTTATTCATTACGGCACCGGTCCAGCTTCCCACCGTGGAAGGTGTGAGAACAGCGGATTAACTGTCAAAGCGTAATAAAAGATTAGTGTGGTAGACAGCCAGGAATTAGCGCAGCAGTTACCAACAAAAGGAGCGATTGAATACCCCTGTTTAGGTCTGGAGTGTAAACTCCTCGCTCATCACGAACTCAACGGACCGTAATGTAGCAATATCCACTGTCGCGTCAGCCCTTGGCACTCATGCCTCATGCGCGCTCAATCTTAACGATGCTCTGCTGGCACGGGGCCACTAAAAAACCATTGAGCCACTGCATTCTCCAAAATTAATGGCCCAACCGGCAGTGGTCATTTGAGGAACACTGCCACATTTTCAAAACTTCCCTCACATTTAATGACTCGTGTTTTAAATCACCGGCGCAGCACATTCAAGTTCACGGTATAATTCCACAACCTGAACAGTTCTGATTGTCTGCTTAATGTACGAGGCTCATGTGCTACGTGTAAACACATAGCTAGCGCGCGGCGCGACTGTTCATTGCACGGTCGACGGTCGTGCATACGGTTCATACTCTTGCAAATGACCTGAGTAGATGTTGGCTGGTATCATTTTCTAACAATGCCAGTTTACTTATATTCCTTCCCATTTTCTATATATTCCTTTGCATGGTGCTACCGCAAGCCTTTCCACCTATTGCTGTCTTTCTCACCATGAATAGCCTGAAATTTCATCCAATGCCAGTTAACGTCCTCTCCCACGGACACCAATGAAACCTTTAGTGAGGTCGTGTCGTGTTGCACGTCAGGTCGATCAAGCAACATATATGTAACCTCAAATTAAATTTGTGAACACAAAAATACATACATTTTATATATCCAACTAATCAAGTTCTGGGAAGTACACGTAACTTGTACTTCCTGCGACATCATTTTTCTATGTGCAGCCACGTAGAGTTTTGTGTGTGTGTACAGTGAATTGCACAACGCTATTTTAATGCATGGACTGGTTGCCGCGTTGCCATCACACCTTTTTGGCAGTAGCACGGCGCAGCGGGAACCAGCAGAAGCCTCATGAGGCAATATTGCGTGCGTGTTTTCGAAATCGTGATAGCGAAATGCAAAGGGAAAGTTATGAAAACCACAAAACTTTCTTTCCACATGTGAATTTAAAGCAGGTGTTTTGTGAAGACAGGGTCCTGTCTTTCCTAGGAAAGGCAGGATTGATTTTTCCTTTTTTTAGCTGTGAGAAGAGATAGATACACGTACGATGGCTCACATTTGCCGGATGCAGCTGAAACGTTGATAAGCACATTTTCNATAAATGGCCAGGGGAATTATGAATTTCCAGAGTATAACTCTACTCAAGCAAATTAAATATAAATCACAGATATGCCAGAAAATTGAAATAAATATTTCTGTGAGGTGACATAATTTGTGGGGAGTCGTTTTGCTGAAGTCCCTACAATGTTCTCATTCAGCTACAGGCCATGATGTAGTGTATGAACTACCTGGCCGGGATTACGTGTACGTTGCAAGGATGCGAACATTGTGATTGGGGCTGTCTTTCTCACCATGAATAGCCTGAAATTTCATCCAATGCCAGTTAACGTCCTCTCCCACGGACACCAATGAAACCTTTAGTGAGGTTGTGTCGTGTTGCACCTCAGGCCGATCAAGCAACATATATGTAACCTCAAATTAAATTTGTGAACACAAAAAAGACATACATTTTATATATCCAACTAATCAAGTTCTGGGAAGTACACGTAACTTGTACTTCCTGCGACATCATTTTTCTATGTGCAGCCACGTAGAGTTTTTTTTGTGTGTACAGTGAATTGCACAAAGCTATTTTAATGCATGGACTGGTTGCCGCGTTGCCATCACACCTTTTTGGCAGTAGCAGGGCGCAGCGGGAACCAGCAGAAACCTCATGAGGCAATATTGCGTGCGTGTTTTCGAAACCGTGATAGCGAAATGCGAAGGGAAGTTG